GCCACGGGGGCTGGCCAGATGCCATGGGGGTCAGTGCCAGGCAGGGTTGCAGCCATGGCCGCCACGTGGCCATAGACCCGTGGCAGGAGGTCGAGGAGCAGCAGGGCATTCCAGCTGGCATCTTCCTCACCTTCCCCATCCTCTGAGGCCCAGCGGAGGTGGCAGCGATCGTCGGAAAGGGCAAAGGGGGCACTGACATGGGCAGGTAGCCCTGTGGCCATCTCCTCTGTGGCCGGCAGTGGTAGGAAGCAGCAGAGCCGCCCTTGGCAGGCTCCGTGGAGGTGGTGTGCCAGGCTCAGCTCAGGGCTGCACCCTATACGTGCACCCAGCTCCACAGCTGCCCCTGATGTGGCCCTGCCTGTGGCCAGCAGCCGCTCATCCTCGTCCCCAATACCGTCCCTGCACAGAGCCACCAGGCGCCACGTCAGGCTCAGCCCCATGGTTCCTGCTGGCTCCAGGACAGGGAGAGGCCGGGGGGACGCCACCAGGGTACCCATGAGGGTCTGGGCCCCATCAGGGGACACGTGGTGCAGGGCCACATGTCGGACATGGCGAAGGAAGAGAAGGGCAAGGGGGGCTTCAGCAAGGAAGGTCTGGAGGAGGCCATGGAGGCGCCCAGGATTGGAGACCCCCACGGCGATGCCTGAAGGTTGTTGGCGGAAGGGGAAGCGGAAGAGGGTGCCCTGGGCAGAGCCACGGCACTGCCCCATGGCCTCCAGCCCAGCCCAGAAGGGCTCAAAGAAGCCAGGTAGGGCCTGGGGTGCAGAGATGTCCCCGCGGGACCCAGCGGCCGGGCTCGGGGTCCAGCACTGCCAGGAATGGGGGGCTCAGCACGCCCGGCAGGTCTGGGGACAGAGACACTATCAGGGCACAGGGACATGGTCCCCGCAGCCCACCTGGGCCCTCCCAGCCCACCAATGCGATGAATGCCCACCCCAGAACCCCCAAGTTCATCTCCCCCATGCCTCCCAAGTTTAATCTCAGTGCCCCAGTCCTCCCTTCGTTCGGCCACCCCAGGCTGCCCAGCCCTCCCAGCCCTTGGTTTCTCAGGTTCCCCCATTTCAAACCCAACCCTCCATTTTTGACTCCTAGTGGATCACTGGCTACCTGTCCCCCACCCAGTGCCCCCTAAACCACCTATGCCCCTAGTGCAATCCCAGTCACCCAGGTCAGTCCTCCAGAACTGCTCACCAGTGAGGTGGTAGACAGAGGTGAAGCCCAGGCCGAAGCACCCCACAGTGCTAGGGTCCCCCTGCTTATGGGACACCCCCGGGCGCAGAAGCCCAGTCCAGTCCCGGGGGGCCATAAGGGCATTGTTGTAGGCCAGGAGGGCTGGGCCTAGGGAGCCAGGGCACCAGGGTTAGGGAGGAGTGGGGACATGTGGGGAGCTGGAGGGGGAAGGGTTTGGACCCACAGCCAGTGCCCGGTGAGCCTCCGCAATCTCTCCCAGTCCCCCTAGTCCCACTCAACCCACCTCAGTGCCCCCAGTACCACCTAGTCCTCTCAGTGCCCCCAATACCCCCAGAGCCTCACTGCCTCCAGTTCTCCCAATATCCTCTGATACCCAATCCCACCCACTGCCCCCCAGTACCTCCCAGTGCCCCTCAATCCTCCCCAGTCCCTCCCATTGCCTCCCCTTCCCTCTGACCACCCACATTCTCCCCCATTACCACCCAGTGTCCCCAATCCTCCCCAGTCCCTCCCAGTGTCCCCCAGTGCCCCTCACCTTGAGTCCCCTCCAGCCCCCCTCCAACAATGACATCAAACTCCCGCTCGTCTAGCATGAACACGACCTCAGTAGCACCTGCATCATCCGCATTCTGCACCAGCTCCTGTGATTAGGGATCAGCAGTCGGACACCTGGTTTCCCCTAATCTCCAGAGAACGCATCAACCCTGCCCAGCCCCCTTGGTCCTCTGTCTGCCCCAGGTGGGCAGCAGGGTCTAGGAGTTAGTCCTGGGTGAATGCCTGGGTTCCCTGCCCAGCAGTGAGCTCTGCAGTTGGGTGGGAGTGCCCAGGTGCCTGGGATCCAGGGGCTTACCTTGAGGATCTGCCCCCCATCGGGGTACTTCTGCAGGATGCTGCGCAGGTAGTCGAGGAAGATGGGTGCTTGCTGGCAGAAGGCCTCACTGCAAAGCAGAAAGAGGGCGGTCAGTGTGGGGTGGCTCCCATGGGTCCCCAGGACCCCTGTGAGCCTCCTGGAACCCCTGGGATCCCCCAACCCCTCCATCCGCCCCAGAATGCTTCCAAGTCCCACCATGTTCTCATGGGAACCTCCAAAACTTCTGCCCCAGAATCAAATGTCCTCCCAGGTGCCCCCCAGGACTCCCACGTTCCCCCAGCAACCCTGGATCCTCCTTAGTAACCCGAGCCCTAGTAATCCCCATGTCTCCTCACAATGCCCAGTGTCCCCCACTAATGCACAGTGCCCCCACAAGCCCCAATATGTCCCTAAACCCCCCAGCCCCACTCACGCTTTCGGCTGTCTGAGAGCCATGACAAAAACTGCAGTAAGGTGCAGGGCAGAGCTACCAGACGCCTGGGTCCTTGTCCCGTTCCACGTCTGGGACACCTGAGTCCCTGCCCCGTTATCTGCCCCTGCTCCGTGCCCCAGGTGCCAGGGACTCTGCCCCGTCAGCCGCTCCTGCTCTGCGCCTCAGACGCCTGCGACTCTGCCCCTTTGCGACTCCACAGAGCCCCTCCCACTCCAGCAGTTTCGTTTCCTGCAGGCAGCAGCCGTTTTGATTCTTCTAAAACTGAAACTGCAGCGCTGGAGCCAAAGGGGGGACAGGGGGCCACCATGGGGGTACGGCCATAGGTGGAGGCCGTGGGAGTGCGGTCACAGGGATGGGGCCATCGGGGTACAGCCATGGGGGTACAGCAATGGGTGGGAGCCATGTGGGTGCGGTCATGGGTGGGGGGCATGCAAGTATGTCAATGGGGCGTGGGAACATGGAGACAGCAGCATGGAGTAGGAAGATATGGAGGACATACCTGTGGAGTGTGATTGCTCTGTGGGTGCAGAGGAAATGGGGTCATAGCAATGAGGTGGAGCAGTGTGGGGGTGTTGCTATGGGGCTGGAGGGACATTGGCTATGGGTGGGGTTATGTGAGACATGGCTATGGGGTGGGATTGCTGTGGTCAGGGACACATGGCTGTGGGACTTGGGAATATATGGGACATAGCAGTAAGGTGGGGAGACTTTGGGACATAACTATGGGGTGGGATTGCTGTGGGGTGGGGGTGATATGGGGACATCGTCATAGGTTGAAGGCCATGGTGGAGAGACATGGCCACAGGGTGGGATTGGTGAGGGGGGAAGGCTTGGCAGGTCTCTCTTATCTCCCTGCTTGCCTGCTCAAAGGGAAGTCTGAGGTGACAGCAGGCACTGCATACCCACCTGACTCCTCCAAAAGGAAGGGATGTCCCCATTAGAGGAACTTGGTGGGTCCCACGGGGCAAGTCCCTAAAAACAGGGGGCCAGAGGGTCTGAAGGCAGTCCCCCAGGCAGAGGGACTGGGTGGGGCAGAGGAGTTGGGAGGGCACAGGGACATGGAGGGCACTGAGAAAAGCACCTCCAGGGACATGGCACTGGGGGACAAAGAATATGTGGTGTCCTTGCCCCTGCAGTGTCCCTGTGCACAGTGGGTAGCTGGGGACAGAGGGCCTAGTAGGGCACAGGACCAGGGAGGCTGGCCGTTGTGATCTTAGCTGAGCACAGAGCTGGACCTCCGAGGAGGGCACATCTGGCCCCATCAGAGGGCTACGTTCAGGGTCATCGGAAGGCCATCTGAGGACCATACTTTGGGTCACACCTCTTGCCATCTGAGTGCCACAACTGGAGCCGTCTAAGGACACATTTAAGGCAATCCAAGAGCCATATTTTGGGCTGCCTGAGAGCACATCTGTAGCTATTCAGAGGCATACTTAGGGCCATCTGAGCGCCACATCCAGGGCTAGGGAGACAGAAAGCAATGGAGAGCTAGCATGTGGACAGCCATAATAAGCATCTTCTTAGGGCAGGCTTGTAACAAGAGCCATACTGAGGGTCAGCTGAGACCACATCTGGAATGATGTGGCCTAGGTCACATCTAGAGCCATCTGAGATGTCCAGCCTGCTTGGCCTGCTGCATTTGTTCCACATCGAACCCAACAGCTGTGTTTTCATTTCCTAGGGACTCTTCCAAGGTGTGCTCACCAAAGACATCCCCTCAGAGATATCTGGGGAGCCAGCTACAGAAGGAAAGGTGGTCCCTTGGGGCTGGTGGGCTGATGTGGTTGATGCAGGTGAGGGCTGGCAGTGATGTCAGTGAGCTGTGAAGGACAGGGGTAGAGAAGGGGTCCTGCTGCTGGCTTCCTGTAACTGCAGGTGGTGGTGGTGGTGCAGTCCCCAGCTCTGCTGATCCCGCAGTTGTGCTGGCACAATTTGGATCCGTGACCCCAGCATGGCTTCAGTTTTTGCTGCTCTCCTTCCAGGTGAGTGGAGAGGGGAAGAAGGGTCAGGGATCAGGGAGGGGCTTAAACGGGGAAGTGAGACCAGGACATCTGTCCAGGTGGGGGTTGAGGGACCAGAACATGATTCTGGGGTGAGGCGGGACCAGATCATGTGTCCGAGGGGAGTATGTGAGACCAGGACATGCATCCAGGGAGTTGTGGGACCAGGACATGTGCCTGAGGAGGGTGACTATCTCAGACCAGGGCCTCAGAGACCTTCTCCAACGATCTGTGCATGTGCTATCTCAATGTCTCTTGCCATCTCACTGCAGCTGCTCAGGCAAGGCAGGATATCAGATGGCAAATGCCCTCAGATCCATTGGGAAAGATTACAGAGGACATCAGTGCTAAGGATGAGGGGGGATAGGACCCATGTCCCCAGGACAGCTGTGCCCTCCAGAGGGAGGGTGCAGTTTCTGGTCCCCTGTCTATGACCACTTTTCAGAATCAGCTGAGCTGCCCTGAATGATGGGGCTGCACAGGGACCAGATATAGACACTTGGAATGTATGGATCATGGAGCCCACACAGACTGTATGGAGATTGTACGGACTGCATAGACCATATGGAGACCACAAGGATACCCCATTGAGACCACATGACTGCAGATCACTGTATGGAGACCACAGAGACCAGGTGAAGGTAGGGGTGATCACACCAGTAGGACATGCTGCCATGGGGCAAGTGTAGGACAAAGTTCAGGGGATGCAGTGGGACGCATGTCTGCGGGATGCCTCCTCCCCTTCCTCCCTCTCTCACCTTGCTCCTGGCTGTGATGGTGTACAGGTCAGTGCCTCATGGCCTTGCTCCCTCTCCATGCAGATTCATGCTCCCCCCCAAGCTCTTCATCTCCATGAGCCTCAGAGCTGTGGTGGGACTGGGGGCAGCTGTGAGCATCTGCTGCATGTGCCTGTGCTGGGACATGATGTTCCTCCTCTACAAGGATGGAGATGGGGCCCTGCACAGGGCCAGGACCTATGGAGGATGCAGCTGAGTTCTCCTTCACCCAGGTCAGCAAGACAGACAATGGGCCTGTAGTGATCCTAACCAGAAGACCATTGTACATCGAGGAGATAGAGAGCCACGTAACAATTAACCTGAGCAGGCACAGGCCTGTGTTGTGCTGCGCATGTCCTGCTTGGCCGCAGGATAAACTTAGCGGGCTAATTATAACGAAGGAGCCTGTAGGCAGCTCCCACCTGGCACTGGGAATTACACCATCTGCACGTCCTCATCTTTAAAAGCCCAGCAACAATTTCTCATGGGAACATCCTTTTGGTTTGACAGTGGAAATGATGAATAGAATAGTTTACTTCTAAGAAAATCCTATAAAAGCTTAGAAGGCCAAAATGCTGGTGAACCTCACCACAGGTAGGGTCTGCACAGTGTGCCATGTCCTGATTGAGAGGTCCATCTGATGCTGTATCATTGCAGGGTTCCCAGCATCAGAAGGGATGCAAGATTTAATTGCTAATCTTTTATTCCACTCCTATCTTTGAATATCCTGATTAAACATTGTATTATACTTAAAGATTAGAGTGGGCAGTCCTTCTTACTGAGATCTAGAAAGAACTGGTACCTACCCAGTGCACAACAGACCCCTAGACCTGGTGACTGTTAGATTATGTGATAATAATCTCATTTCCACCCACACAGGAGCACAGAGGCACAGTGGCAGCTAGGGGAACCCGAATAACACCCTACACTAGCTGCTCCCAAGCCCACCACAGGTGAACAGTCAACTCCTGAAAGGCTCATCCCCATCCACACTAAGGAGCGCAGAAGCACAAGGGCGGGGAGAGACCCCCCCCATAACCCAGTCAGAGAAACCCACCCCAGCCTCAACCTCTCCCCCCCCACCCCCCCAAGGCTGTCCCAGGAGAGCTTCACCACATGGGACACCCATCGCTGTGAGTCAAGGGGACCAGCTCTCCAGAGCACCTTTGTGGCTGAAGGCGGTTACTGCCTTGGGGTACGGGACACATTGTGAGATGCAGGGAAGAACATCTGGGGATTGCACTGGACTTATTATGGGATGTTTAGGGGAGGAACAAAAGGCGGGGAAAGGGAGGGATTCAGGTGATTTGGGGAGGAACAAACATGGGAAAACAGAGGGGGTAAAAAGGGCTGGTCACATGTAAACAGGGCTAGTCAGTACACTTGTCCATCCATGCCCTGTGCCAGATCAGTACCGGACCAGCTCCTGGATGAGTGGTGGGTGTATGCCTAGTTACTGGAGGGATCCATATTGCACATATGTATATATGTATTTCCCCCTAATGGACCTTCATCCGGATCAGCCAGAGAGGGGAACAGGATGAGGCTGTTGGCGCTGCTGGTGTTTGTGTGAGTGCTGAATGTTTCTGTCTGTTGTTCCGTGTGGCCAGCCATGTGTATATGTGTATTGCGTATACATGTTTGTGTGTGTCTACTGGGGATACATGCCCAACCTCACTACTGTTTGGACCTGGGGGCATGGAGCTGTGGCAGCCTCACCTCTTCTGGGCCACAAGATTCAGCAGAGGTGACGGAGAGCTGAGCCAGCTCCATGTTCCCACACCCTTGACCTGGACACCGAGGTAGGTCTCCAGGCTAGGGGACATGAGAAAAGGCTCTGCAGAAGACCCAGGAGTCCAACATGTCCATGGCTTGGCCCCATTGCAATGCCACCAACTCTATTGTGGGCTACATTAGCCAGAGCGCAACCAGCAAGGTAAGAAAGGGGAGCTTGTCCTCCATTGGGTACTGGTGAAGCCAGAGCAGAATACTAGGCCCATTTTGGGCCCCCCCACCGCCAGTACAAAGGAAACAGCAGAGGCCACCACTTATCCTACACAGCTCCAGTCCCCAAGCCCCTCTCTTCCCTGCTCGCCTCACTCCCATGTCACCCAAAGGGACATAGAGCCTTTCCACAGTTTAACTAACCCTTTGTTATTGCCAAAGGGAGCTCTGCTGACACCACTGGCCAAACCAAGAGGGGATGGGGAGGCTGGAGGTGAGGCTCAGGGTGTGGAGGAAAGGGGCAATTATTTGGGCTAAGAACCATACCATTGCACCAATATAGGACTGAGGAGGCTTGCATGGCCAGGGAATACGTCAGACTCTGTGGGACATGGAGTAGCTTCAGACCTACAGGTGAAGGAGATGTTGCTGTCTCTTAGGGCTTTAATTGTACCATTCTCCTCCACCTAGCTCCCACCCCTGCCCCAATGAAAGACATTGCAGATGTCTCCTCCCAGCTTTTAGGAGATCATTTAAGTGGGAAGAGAGCAGGCTTGTGCCGGGTGGCAGACAATAAATGGAATTGGAGTCTTTGGAGTTCAGGGTCGCCAGGAGACGAGGCCAGGTGGGAGGAAATAGCCTCTCAAGTGGCAAAAAAAGGGAAGCCAAGTCAGTTCCCTGTTGTTCCATTTCATGAGGCCACCAAACCTCCCCTACAACCATGAGGAAGGTGCAGCATGGACACTTCCCCATGGCTGGTCTCAGTATCCTCTTCCCCTGCCTCCAGCACTGCCCCAATTTCACAAGAGCTGAGAGGAAGCTATTTCCCCATCAAGTGACTCAGAGTCAAGGAAGAGAAACCAAAAGCCCCAAGAGATTCACCCCTCGGGTCCCCAGGAGCCTAAGACCAGTCATTGTGGATGCACAGTCCGGCGGAGGGTAACCGGGACATTCTTTGGCCAGTTCAACCATCCCAGCCCTGCACTGAGTCTGCAGAAACACAAGCTGTGGGGCAGGAAGTGGCTTGTGACGATCAAGGCTTGCCGGGACACAGCAAGAAGCCGCCCAGCTGCAAGGGAACAGACTCAGTGCCTCCCCGGCAACCCTTCCTCCTGAGCAAGCCCTGCTTGAGCCAGGGACAGAGGGAGCCAAGAGGGACTGCGATGCTGCCTGTGACCCACATCCTAGCCTTTGGTGAGTGCCAGTGGCTGTGTGGGCTCCCAGAGGGGACACAAGGTGCCTTGAGCCCTTGACAGAGATGTTACAGGGCCATTTTTCTTGCAGGAGCTTGGCTGGTGGTGCAGAGCATGGCTGCCACAAGTGAGTATCATGAGGTGGGAAATGGGGAGCTTGGACACAGCCCCTGTCTACTTCCCGGGGCCCTTTTCCAGCCCCACAGCACCAAACTCACCCTTGTGTGGAGACGGGGCCTGAAGCTGGTGCCACATTTGCAGCAGGACAGCTAGGCTCCAGAGCACTCCATGTCTGTCTGGCAGCATCTCTCTCACTGCAGGTGGCCCTAATGTAACCATCTACCTGCAGCCACCTGGAGTGATCCCACTGGGAGGCTCTGCCACTATCCACTGTGAGTGCCAGTACAACGGTGGGAGCTTTGTGCTGTACAGGAATGGGCAGCAGTTCCACACTTGGAAGCCACATGGCAGCAGGGTCAATTTCTCCATCTCCAACGCCACCCAGAGTTTCTCGGGTCCCTATAGCTGCCATTACCTGCATGGAGATGATGGGGCTGTGCTGGCTCGCAGTGACACCCTGGAGGTTCTGGTGCAAGGTGAGGGATGTGTCATGGCCACTCCAACACCCTCTGAGTGGGGAGAAGCACTGGGCATCTTGGCTTCCCCATCTGCATGACGGGAAGGGTTTTTCCCCTCTTCCCTGACTTGGAGAGGTGATGGTCATCTGCGCCTCCACCTTAGTGAGGTGGTGGCATTTCGGAGACCCCCACAATGCTCCTGGCACCATGTCTCTCCCCACAGAGCTCCAGGGCCCCAAACCTGTCCTCTCCATCCTGCCTGGGCATGAGGTTGCTGCAGGGTCTGGTGTGCTACTCCAATGCACCTTCCAGTATGCCAATGCTGGCTGTTTCCTGTACCTGGAGGGCCGGACTGGGGCGGTCCGCTACTTCCCTGAGAGGGAAGCCAAGTTCCACCTCTCCCAGGTGGTGAAGGGTGATGGGGGCCGCTACAGCTGCCAATGCTACATCAAAGAGACCCCACCAAAATGGTTTAGCACCAGTGAGTACTTGGAGCTGGTTGTGAGAGGTGAGACATCCCCCCATCTCATCTTACCCTCTTTTTCCTCACTAGCATCTGCCACATCCTGAGGGAGCTAGAAAAGAGGAGGTGGGGAAAGAAAGCAGCTGAAATAGGGTCCCAAGCAGAGGTTTACAAATTCCTCCAGATGCGCTTGAGGTTTGCCAACCCCTCAGAGACCCTATAGACATGGTGTTGCTGGGACACCGGCTGGGGGGGAGGGGGGAGAGGAAAGGGGAAAGATATGTGGTCGAGCT